CTAAACTTTTAAAAAATTCAACATTATTCGCTTAAATTCTACAAAGATTGCTGAACTGCTATAAATTCGCCTCACTTCTATGTAGCTTCCCAAACTTTTGAGAACTTCGATGATTTTCTGCCAAGTTCCCTAAAACTCTATTAAAATATTGAACTTCTACGCATCTCCTAGACTATTCCAAGTCCTACCTTCAAAGAAACCCTAAAGTAAAAAAAAAGTCCCGGAACGTTAATAAAGCATCCTGTAATAAAACAAAGATTCATTCACTTCATCTTAGTTCCTCAAACTAGTGCTTCTACGAAGTTTTCCAGAATTATTCTGAAGCTCTCGGAATTTATATTAGATTTTCTGCATTTCTTCGATTTCTCTTGATCATTTCCAAAGTTCCTGTAAAACTCCAACTTCGTAGAAGTGGCGAAGTGGGAAACCTGTACAAGTTTGAGGAACTTCGATCAAGTGAATGAAATTTTGTTTTATTACAGAAATCTTCAAGATCAATAAAGGTTAAGAAAAATGACTGAACTTCACTGAACTTCCACCGAATTTCTATAAAATCTTACTAAACTTTGAAAGACTGGAACGCGCAAAAATTGGTCGACAAAAAAAATCGTTTCTTTCAGTCAAAATTCATATCACAAAATCCGAACTGCCGTGCCTTCCGCTTAAGGTGATTCGCTGTGAGATCCTTATTCTTGCTACCACTTCGAAACTGTAAGTGCACAAATATCAGCTTCCACGACACGTACTACAATGAAACTATTACTCTACGTTTGCTGCGGTACAGCATACAACCAGTAGCAATTTCAGGTGAAATGGAGCTCTAATTTTCGAGATTTGTGTAATTGAAAATTCGAGTTGAAAGTGCTTTCTTAGCCTACGTGGCGGGAATCTCCTTAACCCCTTCCATTAAATTTTGCACAGTGGTTTCATCGATCTTATTCGCCGCCGAACGCCAGTTAGATTTAAACTGCTGCTCGTTTTCCATGGATTTATTAGTATTTTTGAAATTCCGTTTGACCAAGACCCAACACCGTTCGATAGGGCGGAGTTCTGGGCTGTTGAGAGGGTTGTGGTCTTTGGGTACCACAACCACGTCGCATCGTTCCCCCGCGATTGCCTTTTTCCCATAGTGGCAGCTCGTCAAGTCCGGCCAGCACAGCACAGGTCTATTATGTTGCTTTAGGAATGGTAGCCGCCGCATTTTCAGACACTTCTGGACGTAGATCTCTTGATTGATGGTTCCCGTAGGAATGAAATATGGCCTGCCAGACGAGATATTTTTTCAGGAACTTCGATAGTTTGATGGTTTTGAAAATTACAGCCAGCTTCCCTTATCCTGATGCGGTATAAAACTCCTGTCCCGGAAGCTGCTTGAAATCCGCCTTCACATAAGTTTCGTCGTCCATGACGACACGGTCGAACTTTGTGAGCAGATTCGTATACACGTGCCCACGTGTTTTGTTTGTAATCTCGGTTCGCCACCTTCACCTTCTTAAACGTCGACAACCCGGCTCGTTTCTTGGCCCGCTGCACAGTAGTATGGGAGACATTGAGCTTGCCAGCGACGTCCCGGATGGAGAGGTTAGGATTCCGCTTATATTTCACCGCCACCTTCTTCGTCGTCACTGCCACGTCCGGATTACGATTGCCGTCGCTTCCAGGCGTTCCAGACTTTAGTAGGATGTAAATGTAGTTCTACAAAATTATCTGCATTTTTATAAAGTTCACTGGATTTCTATGAAGTTTGCTGAGCTTTTACAAAGCTAGCTGATCTCCTTTATAACTTGTTGCACTTCTAGAAAGTTATCAAAACTTCTGAAGTTCTAAGAAGTTTTCTAAAGTTCTATAAAGTTTCTGAATATGTATGAAGTTCCTTGATATTCTATCAATTTACTAAACTTTTACGAAGTTCCTCAACCAGTTAGGAAGTTTCCTGAAATCAAAGGACGTTGGTTGGTTGGTTGTCTGGTTCATCTCCGAGTCAAATAATGTTCTCTTAATTCTTAACTTCTACGAATTGCCATTGACTTCTAAAAAGTCCCTTTGAAGATTCAGTATTATAAATCTGAAACAGTGTACACCTAGCTCCACCCGCAAATTTTAAAAGTAAAGTTGTGACATGTGAAGACATTTACTACCGATAGTTCTCGATAATTTTTTCGAAGGGACGTATCAGCTTTTGTAAACAATGCATTAAATCGTCGATTTGGCGTAGCTGGTAGCTCGCACACGCTTACTAGGAAGGAGAAAATTTCCCCTATCTGATGGTAGTGTTAGCATGCGTGGGCGAGCTACCAGTTACGCAAAATTGACGATCAAATGCACTGTTTACAAAAGCTGATACGTCCCTTCGAAAAAGTAATCGAGAGTTTATGTCTTGTCCACTAGAGTCATGCCACCCTGCAGCATAACATCCTATTTACTCCTATGCGCCTTGGTGTTCTTCTTGGATTTCCCTAAGAACAGTGGCATTTCCTTAACCTCAATCTACCTGTGCACCAACCCTCAAAACATAAACAATTATCAAAATATTGCTTGCAATGGATAGATATCGAGTAAACTAGAAGATTAAGTGTATTTTCAACCGATTCGAGTATGAATATGGCATTCAATCTGGTTTTGGAAATTGGTGCACAGGTTAAAAGTGAGGTTACGGGACGCCACTGCCTAAGAATTTTCTTTAGAATCAACTTGGAATTATACTCCAAAGTTTCCTAGGAATATGCCCCACAATTATTTAGGAACTATCCTCAGAACTCAATAGCCACTAAGTTCCTAACATTGTCATGGAATTCTCAATACAATCACGTAACAATTTAACTCAGAATGCTTTTTAAACTTCACGTGAAGCTCTTGTCACAATTACCTTGGAATTCTGCCCACTATTTCCTTTAAGTTCTAGTCAAAATGCCGTTTGCGTTATTCCCAGAAATTCCTTGGGATATTGCTATGACCGTGATATTCTTAGAGTTCCTTCTTCATTCCCTTTGTTATTTTTATCAGAATTTTCATAATAGTTTATCAAAGTGACAGAGTCCTGAAATTCAAAGAACTCGGACTTAATAAGCTGATATTTTGAACAAATCTCCCAGTGGTGAGAAAAATAGACCATTTATCAACCAGAGGCTTGAACTATTGGGATAAATTGGTGAAAACATCATTGCAAAAAGCTATGCTGAAAAATTGATCTTGCAGTTGTTCACCAAAACTTAAAAAAATGCACTGAAATTCAAACAGCTAAGCTAAGCTAAGTTTATATATTTCGAACAAAATTTCATCAATTTTTCTTATTAATATTCAGGCCTTTTGAAACAAAATTTGGAGCAAGATTGGAAAGACGAAAATCATAATTCCAAATTTCCATCAAAATTCACGGCGTTTTCGGTGTTTTTTTTTCTGAATAGGGTAAGTAGATAGTTCCGCTAGAGTACGGCAAAATGAAAATTGAATAGAAGTTGAAAATGAGCGAAGGGCCATTAATGCGACTGTACTAGTCAAACGCACACTTCTTTACCTAAATCATACATTAATTGATGAGGGGATTTGAATAATTTCTTCAAATCTACAGCAAAACAAAACAATAGTTGGGAAAAGAAGAATTGCATTATAACACACCATCGACTGGAAATGCTTTCGGCAACGTGGGGCTTTAGATAGTGATGAAACGTCGCTAGAACTATTCAACAGCCGCAGACAGTATATGAGCAAGTCAAAGGCGCACTTTTTGCCTGCAGATTTGAAACAAATACTTCAAATCTCCTCATTTTTTAATGTATCTAGATAGAGCAGGAATTAGGGCGTAACAGCTTTTGTAAACAATTACTTCTATCGAAGATTTCTAGGAATTCAAGGCACGTCCACTCAGACCAACCTAACCATCGGATAGAGGAAGTCTTTCCCTACCCGATGAGGATGTTGGTTTCCGTGAGCGAGCCTTAAATTTCTAGAAATCATCAAGAGAAGTCATTGTTTACAAAAGCTGTTAGGCCCTAATTCCAGCTCTATCTAGGTATGAGTTAGGTAAAGAACTGTGCGTTTGACTAGTACTGTCGCATTAATGGCCCTTCGCTCATTTTCGTCTTCTATTCAATTTTCATACTGCCGTACTCTAGCGGAACTATCTACCTACCCTCTTCAGACCTTTCTCTAGCTAATAAATTATCACACTAAAGCTTTATGTTAGATAGCATTTCCAACCAACTCTGAAAATCGTAAACATCACGTATGATGTAACATAAAAACACTTGAAATGATAGATTAATGCTATCCAGATCAAACTTCAAAATGATCGCACCGTAGAGCCACACTCAGCGTATCTAATGAGTGCGCAACCTAGTGAATCTTCAGTGTAGAACCAGCCCAAGGCTGAAAGCCTCCTTAATAAAGCTAAATAATAATAATAATCTTCAGTGTAAACACGGAGTGTGGCTCAACGATGCGAAATGTTTGAAGTTTCATCGGGAGAATACTGGCATTAATCTATCTATTTTAAGTTGGTTTAGCTTGAAGTTAGCTTTCCATATTCAAAAGTAATAAACGAGGTTCCACAGAAGGGGGTCACCCTGACTAGATCATCCACGACTGGGACAATGTTCCTAGTAGCGAAACCAAAACTAAGTGTGTTTACTTAACAAGACAAAGTAGTTCCACTAACAGCGTTTTATTCTAATCTGTGAGGGTGCTGGATGAAATTCACCACTATACAGTATAGCAGTATCTGACGTGCTTGGAATAATTTTCCCCTACTGATGCACTGCTGTATATTATTCGTCAACCTATTAGGGACCGTCCATAAACTACGTTGACAGTTTTTGAGATATCCCTCCCCCTTCTTTTGCAAAAATAATCATACATATATATTTAAAAAAATTTAGTATGGACCGTAGACACTCTTCAAGCACCCTCCCTCCAAACTGTCTACCCAGTTCATGAACAACCCCTTATCACACCAAAGATCGCTCTAATTCTAGCAGACAATGATAAAGGTCAAAACGACTCACCTTATAACATACTGAACATAAGCCATCCTGTGCGGGATTGCCGTAGAATCCACAACCTGATCTACACATCGGCTGCATTGGATTCGACTCGCGCTCCATTCTGTCTCCGGACTAGCAGAGGCCTAGGAGTAGTAGGTGCGCAATTTTGCCAGTTGACAATCGGACACAGGCGAAGTACGGATGGTTGTTGATGCTAACGGTGGTGATGCCGATAGGGGAGGAGCAGGGAGAGAACACGAGCAAGTTTCTCCCTTCCCGGTATGAGTCCAGCCGACGTAGAACCGGAAACGGTGCGATTCACTTTCGATTTTCTTCAAGTTCTTCTTCTCGTCTTGCAAAAAGGTCACACGACCAAACTTGCTTCTAAAACGATCTGCTTCACAGCAGAAGAACGCCTAAAATAGAACGGATAGATTTCTGTTGCAACGACACTCTTGCACACTTGCACACTGCACTGCAGATTTTCACTTGTAACTTGGCTTCCGAAAAAAAAAAGAGAAAACACCACTCTTCTTCCTTCACGACGTCTTCTTTAAACGAGGAACTGATTCTTTTTGAGCTGATCTTCTTGGTTTTTCTCCGCGTTGCAACACTGCCGTTCAGCACTTCTGATTCTGCACCATTCGAGTTAGAATGAAAGAAAAACTTTTTGTCTGAAACACTCGCAACAAGGCTTGCTGTGATTGTTTGCGTATTCCTTGCTTTTCTTGTTCTTCTTGTTTGGACAGAACTTTTTGCTTTAATCCTCTAGACAACACTGCTCTTCAATGTGGGGGGATGGAAAAAGGTGATGTTGTACACAGGGAGTTTACCGTGCCGTGTCACGGGGAAGCGCAATGTTCACGCTTTGGATCTGCAAAAGACAAAAAAAGGGAAAATATGTTTATTAGCATTGGAAACAAAGGAAACTTCAGGAAGAAAACTATTTCTTGCCAAATACAATCTTATCTGAGTGCAATAATTGCAAAACGGTTCAAAACAACCATCATCAACGAAAACAACAACAATCCGCAGAGATGGTTGGTCGGTCGGTAGGTAGGTAGGAGCGAGTCAACGTGAAGGGTAGGAATTCCTTCGGAGGAACGCGTGTCGTGAAGAGATCGAGAGTGAGCCTGAGAGAGAGGCAGCTGAAGGGGGAGGAGGATGAATGCGCATGTGATCTTCTAAATCCAACGAAGAAGACGACGACGACGACGACGACGACAACGTCTCGGCCTTAATGGACGGACGAACTGATTCGAATGCAGCACACAACATACAACAACAGTGCAACGGTAGGGGAGAGCGGGGCAAGGGGCTAACGGGGACGAGACCTTCTTAGGTTATGTATACACCGGTTTTGGCTACCAGCAACCATCCGCAACAGCCCGTGCACCAGCAGTCACCAGGTGCGCGGGTGGAGAGGATGGCAGCACAGACGGAACGAGAGAAACAGAGAGGGAAAGGGTGAGAGACAGAGAGAACGGTGTGGCGTATAATAACACGAATGAGGTCACAAAGAGCGAAGCAAAAAAACACACACGAATTTCGATGGATGGCAACAAAAGCGGAAGAAGGAGAATGCGATTGTGATTGAAATCGGTTCGAGTGTGTATGAGTGGAATGTGGTGTCATGAGAAAATTGAGAGAACTGTCTGAGAGTCGCACACATACACGTAAGAAGCAGATAATAAAGGCGAGAGAATGTTAAATTGTAATAAATTACTTTCCGTAGGCATGATGAAATTTGGCTATAATGGGAAAAAAATAATTTAGAGACGTTTTCTATCACGAGGAATACCTTTGGTTATTTATCTTTGCAGGAGACAAGCGATGAAATAAAATAAAGTTTGTTCATTTCCTTAAAGTTTGCCAAATCTAAATTAAGATCCTAACGGAGCATTCGATAGTCAACTTGCTCGAATCGATCAATGAGGATGATTATTAAAGACTCGTCTAGCAAACGCACTAGCAAGTACATTTTAAAGCGAATGGTTTGAAATTTTAACTTCTATCAGCAGCCATTACAGAAATTAACACTTTGAATAAATTACTCTCTCACTCTCTCAAATTATCTTCCAAAGCAGTATTAGTGCGAGTAACAGAGAGAGTTATCTCACAAGCCAAGAGAGAGAGAATACTTTTCTCTTTTTTGTATGCTCTTGCTCACGCAGCTCGAAGAGACAACCTTTGAATTGAGCAACCATCACCATTCTCCGCACAAGCAAGTAACGATTATCATTAATCAAAAAAAAACGGAGAGCGAGCAACAGCAACAGAAATCAAGTGCGCACTGTGCTGCCAACTAACGAGAAAATATGTTTGGATAATATTGACATTCACGGACAGGCTTCGTTCGATTGAAGCTTACAAACAAACAAACAAACATTCGACGAATGACGACAGCGTAAGTATCTGTCTACAAACATACACGCGCATTCAATGAATTGAGTGCTGCTCTGTGTCTGTCGCATTTGTGTGACTGTGTTAGTATGCTACATAACAAACAGAGAAAAATAACCCCGTCTCCTCCGGTTCTGTTCGTCGTTGATGGGTGCGGTGACGTCACAAAGCCCCTTGTGCGCAAAATATAAGCATATACAATGATACTAAAAATAAAACATCATTAGAAACCGAATGGTTCGCATTTGGTGTGTATTTTCCCCGCCTGACGTCTTTTCAGTCGCAGTTGTTTTGTTCATTTGGCACCCATATGTGCGGCATGTCTATCAAAAGCGAATCGTGTGTGCGATCGGGTTTGTCAGATTTTTGCCGTTGTAATATGAATGCATGTAAGTGACAGCTACTGACCGATAAACAACAAGGTGGTCAATCAATCGAGTACACCTTCTTAGAGTTGGAAATCCACCCACCTATATGTTGGTGCTAGTGTACCGGGAAAAGTTCATGAGAGCCATTGTAGTAAAATATAAACCTTGTGATCAGATAAGTTGTATTGGACAATAGTGCTTTAGGCTTTTAGTTCGGAGATCGCTCACAAGGCGCCACTAGTATTCATTCTATTCGAACTTCTTCTGCACCTCAACATATCTAGCTATTTATAAGTTTTCTGTTTCCGGAATTTTGTTCAGGAGATTGGGACCTTCTGAAAGGCAGACTGATTAGTTCGGAATTGTCTCAACTATTAACTATGCGTAATTGTTTGTTATGAGCAATGATTCACATTTTGCTAAAAATTCGCCAATTTGAATGCGGCATCCTTTAAATTTTTCATAAAATTGTAGCACGGAAACGGCATTTCTGATCGAAATGACGTCTGAGACAGAGTTGTAGGGGATAATCATTTTGCTGTTGTGTAAAATTAAGAAACTATTTTATTTTTAATTTATTTTGGGTAAAATAAAAATAAAGTATAACCTAACCATCTCAAAATGTCTTTGTCAGATTTTTCAAAAAATAATCATTAAAAATCTAACGAAAAATGCAAATTTTTGGAATATTTAAAGCCACTTCACTATTTGGTAGTACGCTTCTTTTTTATTCAGAGAAAATTATGAATGTCTCAAACATTGTTTTCTGAGTATAAATTACATGAAAAAAAAACCGTTTTAACAAAAAGTTCAAGCATTTGATCAAAAGTTCTTGTTCCACGATTTTTGTCAATTTTCAAGTGTCCTTAATTTTAAAAATTCCAAAAAGAAAAAAACTCGGACAAAAATACTTTTAGATATTGTTTTCTGAGTATAAATTACATGAAAAAAAAACCGTTTTAACAAAAAGTTCAAGCATTTGATCAAAAGTTCTTGGTCCACGATTTTTGTCAATTTTCAAGTGTCCTTAATTTTAAAAATTCCAAAAAGAAAAAAACTCGGACAAAAATACTTTGAGATATTTAGGTTTTCACATTTTTTGTTAATATTTACTTAATATTACTTAAAAACATTTTTTTATAAATTTTTCCCCGAAAAACATCACGTTTCTCTACAAATTTGTCTCAGACGTCATGTCAATTAAAAATGCCGTTTCTGTTCTACAATTTTTTTTGAAAAATTTCAAGGCAGCCATTTTGAAAATTTTACAAGATTCAAAACAACCGCATTTCAACAAAAATGTGCGATTATTACCGAGGGGTGCGACACATTTAAATCTCGATTTTAATTCTCTTGCATCTAAACCCATCTACCCGCATCGCTGTCCACCTTTTTGCAGGAAATCTTGAAAATCATAATCAATCGTGTTTCTATCTATTAAGCGCGAGTGCATCTCACCAAAGGGGTAAGTCACTTAGCACATTGTAAGCTTAGGCACATCTATCGGCATACCTTCGGCACAATCTCGTATGCATTGGATTGTTGTAAAGAAAATGGGAGCACTGCTGGACAACTGTCATTGAAGTTGTTCACAGCATTACGTGCTGTTTGAACATCCTCTAATTGAATATACCAGAGGAACTCAGACCAGCAGTTCACTTATAGATCCAAATACGAAATGTAGGTTCTAGAGTGGGCTCAAAAGAAAGAGGCAGTTAATCAGACCCCATTAATACCCTTAATTTAAATAATGCTGCAACTCACACAAAACAGATAACAGAAGTCTATTCATCATCCTCTATAGTCGGTCTCCAACAATGTTCCCCACCGATTCTATTTTTTTCCGGCTGCTGATATACTGTTGCTTTTTACATCACGAAAGACTAGCTTTCTGGTTTGCCTTTGAGGGCAATATAAAGCCCTAAAACACAGGACTTTTATTATCCAATAAACACAAAGCACCAAAATTTCACACACCCGCCACTTCTCGCGTCATCATCAATCCGATTTATCCTTGTGATTTCAAATCAAAACATTCAAGGTGTCAGAAATACCAGGTTGCCGGAATGGATATTTTATAAACAATCGCAACTTGCTCTATTACCGGCACAATCGGCACATCTGCGGCACACTGACAAAAAAGATGACTCAAGATTGGTGTGCGAAGTGACCACAGCAAATCATCAATTTTGGTACACTGGAACTATTTTTAATAAGTATGATTACATTAGCAAAAATCACCATCTTAGCGCCCCTCGGCGAGACTTTGTATGGGAATGAGCTGTCAACGAATAGATTTAGTGTCATCGATCAAAAATTTAAATCTTGATTTAAAAATCGAGATGAATATCTACGGAATCGATAAAAATATCGTTGTGCTCAGAAAACGAAGCTCTATCAGATGATGCATAAAAATCGGTATATTTTTTCGAAGTTAAACAACCTAATTATGATAAGTTTCATGCAAATCGGAGAAGGTCGTGTTTTTCCGGTTTGTCAATTGACGTGGAACTGCTCTATTTTGACATGGTTTTTGGTTGTTGTGGGCAATTTTGACTAGTTTGAACCATTTATTTTATTTGGCCTTTTTTGACGTTTATGGGTGTTATAAGTTTGGCATTTTGGCAGTTTGGAAGGTCCAGGTCGAAGTTTTTGGGCCATTTCGGGTGTGTTTTGGACCGTTTTTGGACGTTTTTTTTGTCATTATATTTTTGGCATTTGTGCACCTTTTTTTCTTGCGATTTTAGGTCACTTTGGAATTTTTAAGCAAGGTTCCAAAATGTATTTTTTATCGTTTTTTAGGGAGGTTTTGACATATTTGCATTAATTTTTATTTTTTTAAGGCCACGTTGGATTTCAAAGCCAGATTGGAAATTGTAGACCAGTTTGACAACTTTTAGCTTTAATTAGGGCCATTTTTTTTTTGGCTTTTTTTGGTGATTTTTTCGAACCGTTTTGGAACTTTTGAACCATTTCTGGCGTGTTTTGGGCCAATATAAAAAATTAAGACATTTTTTGTTTCTTTTTTAGGGAGATTTTGACACATTTGCATTTATTTTTATTTTGGTGTTTTTAGATCGCTTTGGATTTTTAAACCAGGTTG